TAGGGGATAAAGAATGAAGAACAGCTGGTGTAGATATTTTTCAAAAAGTTTTGCTCTCAGCAGAGAAATGGGGTAGTTGGAGCAGATGTGGAGTAATCTAAGGTTTTTATTTAAGATACCAGGAATACTTTAGGTACTTCTAAAATGATATAATTTGGAATTATTCCTGCTCTTTTTCAATAATTTGATATATTATTTTTTTTATTTTGTTTTTAGTTGTATATGTTCATGATAACTTTATTTTTATGTCATGCTGAGGATTGAACCCAGTGCACTACATGTGCTAGGTAAATGTTCTACCCCTACCTAAGCTACAACCCTAGCCCAATAATTGGATATATTATTTTAGTAGAGGCCCAAATTATCATTTTGCTCTATATAAAGATGTCCTAGTCATAAGTTTTTAACATAGCCATCTTAAAAAAACACACTTGATATCAAATATATTAATAATGTTATTCTATATTCATTTTCTTGGTGCCTCTAGTTAATTATCTGATTGGTGAGATCACACAAGAATTATCTAAGAAATGGATTTCCTGAATCTAATTCTTATATCCTTAGGTAATATTAAAGGTAAAAATAAAATTAGAGTAGAAAAAATATTAATATGAATATTTTTGTTATTAAAAATTATTTAAATGAGTGAATATACACTAACATCCTCTGTAGTTCAGAAATCTTTTATATGTGACTGTAAATATAAGGAGCTAACTATGCCCAGTGCTATTCACAATAACATGCTATGTGGAACACTGATAAGGGACCATAAAAGTGTACGCAACTGATCTAAACAGAGACACTTCTAGGGAAGCACTATTTTAATCCTTATTTTTCAGTGTCAGGTTACATGAGAAATAGATGAACTGAGGCAGTGTGATTGAGAGCTCACTCTCAAGACTATAACTTCATCCTGTAGAAATTAGGTCAATATTATTTTTTGAGGGGTCTGGGAAGTTTGGGTTTTGTTTGCTTAGCTGAGTGTTGAAAAATTTGTTTAAAGATACCCAAAGTGATACTGTCATAAAAAGACACTTTGACCTAAGGTGAAGTTCCATTGTTGCACCTTATCATGACAGAAGTTTTCTTTTTGGCTCTTGAGCAACAATGACAGTCAACAGTACCAGACTGGTTCATCTCTACTCCCTTGTGGCCTTCCATCAGTAGTAAGACCATAAACAGCTGAAATCACTGTTCTTAAATTTTCTTCACTAGAGCTCCTGACCCTAAATTCCTCACTTAAGAGGTAGAAGTCAAGTAAATATTTTCATGTGGAATGAATAGTTGAATAATGAGTGATTGGTTTGAGAACAATTCAAAGCAATTAGAAGCCAAATAAATTTCAATCACACTTTACATAGCTCTCATCCTTGGTCACCACCTGAAATTTAAGGTCTCTGATGGTTTCAATCATGGTCCACACAATAAAATAGTAACCACAGTTATTTTAACACAAAACAACTAATACAAGGAATTAATTAAACAAGTGTTGACTGACAAAAAGGGCCCTGAAGTAACATGAAAGCAGCTACCACTTACACACAAAAAAAATGTTAACAGTTATCTCCTGGTAGTAGGAGTATGGCTAATTTTTCTACAGATACAAATAATTTAAAGTACAGCTTAAGTGACTGCATATCCCGTCTTACCTTCATAGAAATGAATACCATCGTTCATATAAGCCTAAAAGTTAAGCTTCTACAAGTCAATCCAGACATCATATAGTATACACAGAATTTTCTAGAAAATGGTTATAGAACCATATGGCATGAGATTTCACCAGTGGAAGGCACAACCATGTCGTGAAACTACAGACTCAGGAAAAGTTACTATAGCACTGGCACAAGTTAACATACCTCTCAACTTGGCACAAGAAAATTCAATTCCTAGGGACAAAGGAGTCTTTCAGGTATATGTTGAAATTTTCACAGTTCAGCTGCAGAATGTCAATATTTTGTTTGACCCCACCTAGTCCACTGTGGCACTTTTTGTTTTTTGTTTTGTTTTGTTTAGAAAACGCTTTTTCTACCCAATGGTCACTGACCAGAGCAGCTATTATATGTGACCATGTTACCTAAGGAGAGTTGGTTGTGAGGGGTGACAAGCTGACTTTTCCCTGGAACTGGAATAAGGAGATCAGTTTCTTTTTGAGTGATCAATAACATGTAAATCTTGGAGTTATGCGTGGTCTTGTGCCACCATGTATTAGGAGAATGGAGCTGATATTCGTTGTGGGGCAGAGCTGCAGGCATTTGAATCCTGACTAAGGTTTGCTGGTTTCCTTCCATGTGTTCCATGAGGTACTTCAGCTTGCCTCTAACAACCCCTATTTGTGCTCAGGTAGCTCTGGCAGAGATTTTATGCTTTGTAATCAAAACAATTTTAATACTAACCTATTACTCCATTACTACTAAAAGAATTGGTCTATGGAAAGTTTCTATTCTTTGGAGAATAGTAGTATTACTATTTAGTAACCCTCTTTTTTGCCAATCTATTAAGAAAAAAAAACTTTTTTTAATTGAAGCTTGTATTTCTCAAATCAAACAAATCTTTTGCAGGTTAAACATTAGGAAAAATCATTAACTAGTTTATATGAACATGAGGTTTTTCTGGATGTATCTCCTAACACATTTTTGGGCTCAGTAACAATGATACCGAAATTTCTTAATATTAAAACTTTGTAATTTAGCATTTAGCCATCAGCCTCAAAGACAAGAAACAAGTGGAAAGTTCTTTCAAAATGGCTGAATGTTACATAACCTACACATTAAAGTGTATACACTTTGCTTAGAGACAGCTTGTACCATAAGATCATTTTCACTATGAATAATTCTAACAGCCTGGGTGACCTACTTTGTAAATCCACCTCAGAAAGGAAGTTACAATCCCAGAAAAAGATAATATAGTAAGCCCGGCGCCGTAGTGCATGCCTGTAATCCCAGCAGCTCGGAAGGCTGAGGCAGGAGGATCATGAGTTCAAAGCCAGCCTCAGCAAGAGCAAGGCGCTAAGCAACTCAGTGAGACCCTGTCTCTAAATAAAATACAAAATAGGGCTGGG